CTATCTATCTATCTATCTATCTATCTATCTATCTATCTAAGTCTGTTCCATATCTATCTATCTATCTATCTATCTATCTATCTATCTCAGTCTGTTCATTATCTATCTATCTATCAATCTATCTATCTATCTATCTATCTCAGTCTGTTGTCATTCTATCAATCTATCTATCTATCTATGTATCTATCTATATATCTAAGTCTGTTCAGTATCTATCTATCTATCTATATATCTATCTAAGTCTGTTCAGTATCTATCTATCTCTATCTATCTATCTATCTATCAGTCTGTTCATTATCTATCTATCTCATCTATTTCATTTCTATCTATCTATCTATCTATCTATCTATCTATCTATCTATCTATCTAAGTCTGTTTCAGTATCTATCTATCTATCTATCTATCTATCTATCTCATCTATCTCAGTCTGTTCATTATCTATCTATCTATATATATATATATATATATATATATATATATATATCTAAGTCTGTTCAGTATCTATCTATCTAACTAGCTATCAACATGTAGATTTATTTGCTCTCATCTATCGTTCTCATTTTGTTCATACGCATGTATTTTTTTCATATCTCTCAAGATGTAAATCTATCTATTTCTTCTTTCTATCTCTCAATGTCATTATGTTCATATCTCTCTATCTAGCTAACTATATGGAACTAGCAGTGTATATATCTCCCGATATTCATATGTATATCACTATGTATACATTCAACCAGGCCCCCTCCAGCTTTTTGCAGCATCCCTACTCCGACCTCCCTGCAAGCTGTGTAGATATTTTCCTCAAGCTGTGACAAGTCAGGAGGCTTTGTTGCATACACCTTGCTTTTGATGAAGGCCCACAGAAAATGGTAACAAGAGGAGCGTAGAACCCATTCGAAAAGATCCCTTCGACCAATCCATTGGTCAGGAAACGATGTTCACGAAATCCCTCAGTAACCTGGCAAATAGGGAGGGTCTCCATCTTGTTTAACCCAGACAGAAAATTTCGTAAAAACATATGTGCTTTGCGTATTAAGTCTTCAGTATCCCATAAAATGGGAACTGGCAAAATGGGAGGGGTTCCGTCTTGTTAAAAAAAAAAAAAAAGAAGACATCAGCAAGATCACACCTCGCCTGAAGTTGTGTAATGGTAAACTCCTTCAGCGCTTTCAGGTATCTGGGAAGATATATGATCCAGTCAGCTTGCTCAAAGTCATGGCTCACCAAACCATCAGCTTCGCAGAGTCTCGTCCATGCGCGAGAATTACTGCTCGGTTTGATTTTCACCAAATTCGACAGATGTATCAGTTTACCCGATCAGAGAAATGAAAGCTATGCTCGTGGCTGAACTATAAGTTTTTCCAAGATCGTCTTAGTTTAATGTAATAAGTATAGGAAGATTCTGTTGCTCCAAATAGCCATACCTTGCAAATCAGCATTCGAAATCCTGGAATTAAAAGCAAACTTCTGTTAGCGATGAGAAGTTAACGAGATTTCATCAAGAAACGCGAAATAACGTTTCAGTGTTACTGCAATGTGCCGGTCTGTGTTTCTATGAAGCGACAATGACTTATACGTTTTTATGAAAAGTAGATTCCGATAGGCTTCCTTTATTCACGAGATTTATTTAAACTGTTATTTCAAGAGAAATGATAGATTTTACAGGTATACTAATGTACTTAATTCAATATGAAAAAGAAAATGTGAATAATCTTTAATTTGAAAAGAGTATAAATCATGTATTTTAATAAGGATTGAACACCGATTTGTGACGCTGAATAAAAATGGCTACAGAGATAGGAACAGACTGCTTCGAAGAGACAGATATGAGCAGGTATATATATATATATATATATATATATATATATATATATATATATATATATATATATATATATATATATATATATATATATATATATATATATATATATATATATATATATATATATATTTAAAGATATGTTTAGTGGTACAAAACTTTATCACTGCTATAAACAGACAAAAATTAATTTTCTTATTACCACTCATGATGATAATAAAAAGTAAAAATAAAAAAACGGACCAGCTAACCGGTTTTGAACCTCGCTCAACAGATCTAAATCGAGGTTAATAAAAAAATTAAATTATAATTAGTTGGAGGCCTAATACAAAGTCCTTCTGTTTACATAGAGAAGGCTTTAATGATAGAATATAGATGGCCTCCAACACTTTTAGGTGGTAATTAGAGTGGGACCTGCTAAGGATGGTAAAAGCGTCCGCACTAAAGCTAAAAGCACAATTATGGCTATTTATTAGGTGTTCTGCGATGGAAGACCCGTATGTATTGCTCAAAATGTCCGAGGGAGTATACTTAAGGTTTCGGATTTTCGCTGAAACGTGTTGTTTTATTCTAGCATCTAGCCTTTGCGTCGTTCTCCCTATGTAGTGCGAACCGCAACGACATTTAAAAGAATAAATTAGTGAACTATTATGGTGTGGAGGGAGAACATCCTTATACATAGATGGAAGAACAGTATCATCATGAGAGGTAATAATAAAATTAATTTTTGTCTATTTATGAAAGTGATATATATATATATATATATATATATATATATATATATATATATATATATATATTATCCGTTGATAATTGGTAGTGATAATTCCAAGGAAGACAGGAATGCAAAAGAGTGCTCAGTGTAAGAAACAGAGCAATATAATAATAATAATATGTACAGACGATCCTTCAAAATCCATTTCAATTATAATTTATTTCATGAATATATGAAAATATTCATATCTTCAGACCGAAAAAAAAACTTCGGTCCGAGGTGATGAATATTTGTATATATTCATGAAACAAATATAACAGAATAGATTTTTAAGGATCGTCTGTACTCATATATATATATATATATATATATATATATATATATATATATATATATAAGAAGATAGAAAGCGAAAATGTTCTTGGTTGTAATGAGGACTTTTTTAATTATATATTAGGCTTTATTTTTCATAATTTTGCAACACGTGTTTCCCCTTCTCGAATCCCTCTTTAGGCAAAGAGTGTATATTTCGACATATTATTAAAAGGAATTGAATTTCTTCATATTTTTCGATGTTAAACATTCTCGGTATTAAATATTCTCTTTTTTGCGTGCTAGATATATATATATATATATATATATATATCGATATATATATATATATATATATATCGAAAAGTTTTCAACACCAACCACTTTCTACAATCTAGCTAAATATTCAAGCCTGATTTTTTTAATTGCTTCTTGTTCGAGGTGAGAAATTTTCATACAGCTGAGACAAAATGAGAATGAGTTATTTATATCGTATATGAACATATTTTACAAGTATACTAATGTAATGAATACACCATGTGGACTAAAATTTCTTGTGCATAAAGCAGTCATCCTTATAAATAACTTGTGGTAATTTGAATCTCTCCACCTTTTCGAACGTTGAAGATAGATAGATAGATAGATAGATAGATAGATAGATAGATAGATAGATAGATAGATAGAAAGAAAAAAGACTGGGAGATAGATAGATAGATAGATAGATAGATAGATAGATAGATAAAACAACCGGTATATAGGATTGGAGAATGGCTTCTTTTAACAACTTTCAATCCTCCGTACTTCATTAACTTCAAAGTGACGCCTCTATCTTTTACTTGGCGTAATTTGAATGTTAAAAAATAACAGACTTTCGATGTTTTAATTACTTAGATTTCCATTTTTGTTGTTTCTTTTTTTATTTATTTTTTTTTTTTGTTTTCTTTTAATTCGTGACAAAAAAAAACATAGGATCTACCATTCCCACCCCGTCTGGAACGTTGTCATAACGAATGTCTGAGATGAAGAACTACATTGACTGATGTTTTCGTTTACTTCCGTAATCAAGTAATGAAAGACACAAATCAAGCGGCTCTCAAGATGAGCTTCCTTTGACAATAGGCACTCCCCCTTGTCTGGTTAGTAGCTCCACAATAAAACTATCTTTGAGAAACATCTTGTCACTTGCAAATAAATAACCACTGAGACTGGACGAAAGATATGCTGATAACATCTCATCTGTTAGTTAACTGAACATTTCTAAAAAACAAAAACGGATAGGATTATTCGTGTACAAAGAATCAAAACAATCATTCCACGAATTATACAGACCAATATCCTTATCTTTCTAGGTCTTATAAAATCTATTTCACCGGTTTGTTTTCCAATTTTCCAAATATGTATTTTACATATCGTATTCCCTGACGGATAATCAGTAGCTGTCATTAGTTTATCTGCCTAGAATAATATTTTTACTAATAAGGGATGCTAAATCCAACATATACCTGCAAAAGGTTTTAGAATATAGAAAGACATAGAAAGAGAGATGGGTGTGAAAAGATTCAGATAGATAGATGATGATAGATAGATAGATAGATAGATAGATGGGATAATAGATAGATAGATGAGATAGATAGATAGATAGATTGCTAGAGAGATAGATAGATAGATAGATGGATAGATAGATAGATAGATAAATAAAAAAAATTACCAACAATAAAAATATTGTCGGCATTAATAACCCATCAAACCAAATCAATATATACTGAAAATAGATAGATAGATATGAGCAGATTTATATATATATATATATATATATATATATATATATATATATATATATATATATATATATATATATATATTGGATAGATACATACATACATATATAAATACATAATTAGATCCATAGAATGATATATACATACAGAATTAGATAGATAGATAGATAGATAGATAGATAGATAATTAACAGAATGAGATAGCTAGACAGATAATGCATACATGCAGAATTAGATAGATAGATAGATAGATAGATAGATAGATATGAATAGATTGATAGATACATATATACATACATATATAGAGAATTGGATAAATACATGCATACATATACAAATACATAATTAGATAGAAAGATACATACATACAGAATTAGATAGATAGATAGATAGATAGATAGATAGATAGATAGATAGATAGATAGATAGATGCAAACAGACTGATAGATAGATAGATAGATAGATAGATAGATAGATAGATAGATAGATAGATAGATATTATTGATTGCCGGACGATTGTCACTCCTCCATTGGTTGACCGTCCTTGAGCCCGTTGATGACTTTTCAGTCCTGCCAGCGACTTGCATATCTTGTAGCAGATTTGGCACTCATGACCATTGGCTTTGGTCGAGATTATAGACATGGTGTTGGCATCACTGTGAACTTTCATGTGACGCTTGAGAACACCACCTGATCGGCATATTCTAGAGCAGTGGCAGCATAAAAACCTTCCATCCTGGGTCTCTATACGCGGCATGGAAGGGACAACAAATGTAGTTGCATTGCTTTCATACGATTTCATATGATTAACCAGGCCTGTTTTTGACAGCAGGATCCGGTCACACACCTCACAGACCCGCATATAGATAGATACATACATATATAAATACATATTTGGATAGAGAGAAAGATACACAGAGATCTCCACAATTGGCCTGGAAATTTCCGTTTTAGGTTCTCTGGAGTTCGGCTCGGTTTTCTCTGGCTGCTTCAAAAATTTCAGCACCCTCGAAAATCATAGCTCTCCAATGGACACAATCAGATGCTAGGGAGCCCCAATCATCAACAAGAAGACCAAAATAAGCCGAACTCTCCTTGACACTGTCTTTTATTATTTATTTATTTATTTTTGGCTTGGGCTGTGGTCTCTTGCCAGAAAGAATCTCGCCACAAAACAGCTGTTTTGTAAGCCTGGAGTCATCAAGCCGAACAAGATGACCCGCCCAATGAAAGAAAGATAGATAGATAGATAGATAGATAGATAGATAGATAGATAGATAGATAGATCCCGACGCATACAACTAACTAAACGCGCTTAAATATGAAGTATGACATGCACTCATAGATAAATTGCTAGATATAAAAAGCTTGATAGATAGATAGATAGATAGATAGATAGATAGATAGATAGATAGATAGAAGGATGTATAGATAAAAAGAAAAGGAAGATAGACGCATACATACATGCAGGGAGATTGATAGACAGAAAGACAAGGAAGATAGATAGATAGATACATACATACATACATACATAATTAGATAGATACGTACATACATAATTAGATAGATACATACATACAGAATTAGATAGACAAACAGACAGATTGATTGATAAATACATACATACATAATTAGATAGACAGATACATATATGCAGAATTAGATAGGCAGACAGATTGATTGATAGATACATTCATACATACATAATTAGATAGATAGATAGATAGATAGATAGATAGATAGATAGATAGATAGATAGATAGATGCATACATACATACCTGTTGGTGGGTGTCAAGTCGTGTCCGAGTATGGCCATTACTACATATCTTTTCAGATGATCTACTGATATGCTGAACGAATGAGGCTCTTTAGCCCAGCAAGGTACTTATATACTCTGGCACAAACAGGACACTTAAGAGGTCCAACAGCAGGTGCTGCATTATCATGCAATTTAAAATGTCTTATGAAACCTCTTCTGGGCCCGCATATCTTACCACAAATATCATATTTCAATAGCTGGACGTCTAAGGTGTTATAATCAATTGCCACCTACTGTCGGTGCGCTTTCAAGTGACTCCTTAGACCAGCCATCGACAAACACCACAATCTGAACCTGTCAAATCGAGCTGCGTGCGGATGTCTTCAGGAAGCTCTACGAGAACGTCTTTACGCACATCTCTTTTAAGCTTTGCGTGCCTCCTTTTCTCGCCTTCCACTATTCCAATTATTGCGATCAGGTGCAAATAATTCCCAGTTCTCACAAGGAATGTTGCATTTCTTCAGCGCATCCTTGCTGCAGTCCTTAAAACGCATTTTAGGTTTCACAGCACGCCTCTTCCCCGTTCGCAGCTCACCATAAAACAAATGCTTTGGAATGCGATTGTCATCCATTTTGATTAGGTGAGCTGACCACCGAAGTTGATGTTTTAGTATCAAGTACTCGGCACTATCACAGCTTCTCTCATACATACATTAATGCATACATAGAGCAGATAATAGTATAGATAAAATGATAGGCACATACACAAGATAGATAATGGTCATCGACTTATTAACCGAGTGTTACCATCGCTGAAAATTTTGTTAATAATCTTTCCTGAAACCCAAAAACGATTTGCAACGCTTGCTACAGATGTCACAAACTAAGTTGTTTTGTACAGGGCCTGACCTGTTTTGTAAAGCTTGTTCACTTTCCTCGATGGTTTTCATAGCCGTATCAACGAAAGACGATGTTTTTTTTCTTATTCGTTTTATTATAAGAAGGGGATAGATGTGGCATCATCAATTCTACACGGCAGTGAGAGGAAGACGTTCAGGGGAAAGTATGCTCACTCATTGGCTTAGCATCCTGCCACGTGTGGCCTTAGCCTGTTTAAGAAATCTTGGTGTGGAAAGCGTGTCGTCGCTTCAAATCTCTTCTGCCGATTTGGTCTTCAGAATATCGACAACATAAACGACGAAATATCGTGACCAATCGCTCGCGAACCTGGCCCAGTCTTCGGAACCAAGATCTTGTATGAACAGTCCTGATTTCTTCAATATTTGTAGGAAATTATTATTGAAAACTTGTTTAAAAAAGGGCATAGTTATCGGTAATAAAACTTAGAGATAAGGATAATAAGTGAGCCACATACAAAATCTATATTTTTATAGAGTGACAATGATACTCGAAAAATTGGAAAGAAATCTCTTGTTTTTGGAATTCTAATGGTATGAAGAGAATCTAAAATCATAGTCATAAGTACCAATTTTTTTCTTGTAAATTTCAAGCATAGAGCAAATGTCGGAAATAAATAGCTTCTTATAATCACACATTAGTCATAAAAACTTTCACACAGGATTTGATCGATCATACCCCAACATCGCATGCTAATCTTGACTGTATAGAAATTCACTCAGATTAAACAATAAGTAATATGTTAAATTGATATAGAAATTAAATACATATAGAATTAAATTAATGTAGAAATTAGATTATATAGGAATTAATGTAGAAATTAATATAGGAATTAATGTAGGAATTAATGTAGGAAATTTATAGGAATTAATATAGGAATTAATGTAAGTATGAATGTAGGAAATAATATAGAAATTAATGTAGGAATTAATATAGGAATTCATGTAGGAATAAATATAGGAATTAATGTAGAAATTAGTATAGGAATTAATGTAGGAATTAATGGAGGAATTAATATAGGAATTAATGTAAGAATTAATGTAGGAAATAATATAGAAATTAATGTAGGAATTAATGTATGAATTAATGTAAGTAGTAATGTAGGAATTAATACAGAAATTAATGTAGGAATTAATGTAAATAATATTGTAAGTATTAATGTATGAAATAATATAGAAATTAATGTAGGAAATTATGTAGGAACTAATGTAGGAATTAATGTAGGAATCAATATAGGATTAATGTAGGAATTAATATAGGAATTAATGTAGGAATTAATGTGGAAATTAATATAGGAATTAATGTAGGAAACAATGTAGCAATTAATGTATGAATTAATGTAAAAATTAATATAGGAATTTATGTAGGAAAAAAACAGTACCGTAATCGAAAAAGAATTGGCATCATATTTCAACAAAAATGTCATATGTTAAAATATAGGAATTAATGTAGGTATTAATGTAGGAATTAATGTAGAAATTAATATAGTAATTAATGAGTTCTCAAGAATGTAAAATTAATATATTCGAAAAAATGATTAAAGAAAGACTGTAGACTAAGATGAAGAATTTGTGTACCGCTATAAAGCCTAATCATCCTCTCATGATGAACTTAATAACTTTAATGAGAGTCCTTGATCTCGGCAAATATCCTGTAGAGTTCTTGGGGCCCACATTAAAAGAGAAGTTACCGGAATCGAAAAAGAACTTGCATCATATTTCAACAAAAATATTTTATGATAAAAACATTTCAAGTGTATTTTTTATTGTGTCCATAAGTGCTTCAATCTCGCAGTATTTAGAATAGTAACAATTTTTACTGATTTTATTTCTGTAAACTTGTCTTCGAATAATATATGTAATAATGCAAATATTTCCGATGAAGAATTTCAGAGAACAGTTAAAGGAAAAGGATGCCAAAGAGATCAGAGCCATTTACGATTTGATCCAACAAAATGTATAGTCTTGAGAGCCAATCAAAAGCCAAGCGGCAATTTCCAAACGGATCTTCTTTGTTCAACAAGATAAAGACTTAGATTAGTCCAATTTTAGGAAAGTCTTCAGGGCCAAATTACTCACATGTATGTGGAAAACACTCACACATCGATACACATATATATTTCATGTCATTCATTTAAACTTACTTGCAACTATTTACAAGCATGATTGCTACTCTATTCACTTACAAATATATATTTATGTATAAATAATTAATCAGATATTTATTTGCCTCATATAAACTTTGCACATATATACACATTTAGACTCTTTTATTTATATACAAGGACTCTCATCTTGAAACACAAAGACATTCATTCCTTCTGCAAATTCATTAAATAATATAAACATTATGTACATTATTCAGATTATTGTCATCATCTTTGTCGCTACATTTATCACAACGTTTCAGCCTCAAGGACACATGGCACAGAGGATAAAGGCGTTGGTTAGATCCAGTGACAAGACCCAAAGAGTGTGAATTCAGTGGAGAACTTGGTGAGGGGAATTAACAGGAGATAACTGATAACTGACATCCATTAAACATGGCACGTGGAACTAGAACAGTCTACCCCAGTGAGCGAAATAAAGGGTTCAGTTCGACATTCCAACCACCTGAAGAAGGCCGGAGCGTACAACGGCCGAAACATTGTGATAATTATGGCGACAAAGACGAGGACAATAGTCCGAATAATAATGTAGGCATTAAACATAATTTTTCATCTCGTTAATATAGACAGATACTGAAAAACCGAAACGTTGTAATAAATATGGCGACAAAAATGAGGATAATAGTCCGAATAATGTAAATAGTGTACAAATAAACATCTCAGAAATATAGACAGATACTGAACCGTTGTAATAAATATGGCGACAAAGATGAGGACAATAGTCCGAATAATGTAAATAACATAATACATCATCTCAAAAATATAGACAGATAAATCAAGGCCAAATTAAATAAATATGGCGACAAAGATGAGGACAATAGTCGGAAAAATGTAAATAGTGTACATTCATATCAATGAGGCTCAAAAAATCTAATTAACATATTCCTTCCTGAATGTCACTTTGAAATTTTGGCTAATCATTGCTCAGTACATTATAGTTGTGGTTTGAAAATATTAGCCGTAAGAGAAAGAGAAGGGGAAAGGGAAAAATTAATAGATTCTCAGTTAGGAAAACTAATCACTAAAAGTCTTTACGGCGGATTTATGATTAGAATTCTACTATCTTTCTCTGTTCAAAAAGCGAAATACAAATAAACAATTATAAAAAAAAAAAATAAGCAATTAGATAAGAGACAAGCAAATATAAGCTATGATTATAATTGTTTTACTCGTTTGTTCCAGTCTCAGAGTGCAGTAAGGAAATTTATAGAAAACGCTATACAAATTATTATTGAATTTGACGCTTTTATATAGGCCGATATTTAATTTTAAATAGGAGAGGCATCGCCTTCAGCGTAGAGACAAGTCCAAATGCACACAGACACAGATACACACACGCTCAGACACACACACACATACAAATATATATAATCAATATTAACATTAAACGCTTATACCGTAGTCAAATGCATGCTAATTATAAACAAGATGAAAATATACAAAAAAAATTAGTAAATACTAATCTATCTACAACAGATCCTAGCAAAAGTATTAGGTTAATCATATACTACACTAAATCTAGTATATTCAACTTAATTATTCGCAATGATTCTTCCCTCCACCCCGTTAGCGATTTGCAAAAAACCAACATAGTTTACAAATTCAAATGCCCTTTGGGAGATTGTATCGCCAATGGAATGAATAATATTTATGTTGATCACACCACAAACTCGCTTGACTCTACATTTGGATAACTCTAACATTTTTAGGCATTTAAAACAACATGCCTGGCAGCATACACAATTCCGGAAAATCCTTGTTGTAAACACAACTACCTAACCTGAATAAAATAAACTACGAAATCTCCACAAATATTCTTAAATGCCTATAATTGATAATAGAAGCCATTGGTTTATACCAACGGCTTCGCATACTTAATACTTCTCGTTTTCACTCTCACGTGGTCATGTGTGACGTCATAAGCTGCAACGTGATTTTCGCTTCCGCGTCACGTATACACGTGTTAGTCGTTCCTTTGAAATTTTTCATGCGACAAAAACAGACTATCATTATTGTTTCGCCTGTGTATTGGTTTATATATTGAAAAGTAATTGTCATCATTGATAATGGCTTATGTAAGCCGAAAACTTATATTTCATTTAAACATGTATCAATATGGTGATTTCCTTTCGTCTTTCAATGAAAATGTTATTAAGCTTATCAGACAATATGAAAGGAACTTATTTAAAATATATAGACAAAACTTGTCTATATTATTTAATAAAACATGCATCAATGAAAAATTTCTTAAATATACAGAATATATATATATATATATATATATATATATATATATATATAATATGGATACAATATGTTAATCAGTATGGAATTTCCAGGAGGATATAAATCAAGAGAGAGATCTCTGTGTCAAATGACAGAGCAAAATTATTATTAATTAAAGAATATAAACACTTAAAATGCCATAGGCATTAATTTTTTATTTCATGAGAGCTCTAGAAACAGCAGCTCCCAATCTTGAAGACCTACAAACAAAGGTTTTTTTGTGGTGCATTGAAGATTGAAATATAATGTTTTAAATATATATGAAATAAAAATTATTATCTATGGGATTTTTAAGTGTTTCATATATTTAATAATATATATATATATATATATATATATTTATATATATATATATATATATATATATATATATATATATATATATATATATATATATATATATATATATATATATGCACTGCGTGCCAAATTATTATCAAGATATTTTTTTCTAATATTTCAAAAACCGTCCAATCAATTCACACAGCATTTTCACACAATGTTGGCAACACTTAACTGCGCAATCACTGAAATTTCTGTACTGATCTGCGCAATGTAAAAAAAACTGACGCCATATTTGTTATCAGCACGGTGATTTAAGCGTACCAAATTATTAGAAAAGTATAAGAATTTAGTGAAAAGATGGGCCGTAAAAGCAGTTTAAGTGATGCTGAAAAGAAAACTATTACCTCAAAACTCGCAAAAAGTAAATCTACCCTAGAAATTTTTAAAATGATAGGGAAGTGTCATCAAACAGTGAAAAATCCACTGCCGACCCTACAGAAGTACGCAAAAGGGCATATAAAGGCAAGCCGAGGGTTATTTCACGTCGTCTCATGTCACGACTTAAACGAGAGGCCACGAAGAACCCTGGACTTACCAGTCAAGAGCTTTTCAGTCGTATTGGGGATCCTACTGTGTCTAAAAGTACTCGGTGTGGGTATCTGAGGGAAATAGCAGCAGCAGTCAAACCTGTATCGAAGCCTCCGTTGACGAGAAATCACATTCAAAATCGATTGAAATGGGCTGAGGGCAATATAAAGATTGACTTCTCTAAACTCGAGCAACACTTGATGGGCCAGATAGATGGTGCAAAGGCTGGGTATTGAACGGACAGAATCGCCATCAGTTTCTGAAGCGCCAACAAGGCGTTGGAGGCATAATGATCTGGGGTGGTATTATTGGAAAAACATTAGTGGGCCCATGGAGAGTACCAGATTGCCTCAAAATGACTGCTGATGCATACATAGCATTTATGAAGGAGCATATTGAACCGTGGATGAAAAGGCAAAGAGTTGCCTTCAGAAGGGCCATAGTTTTTTTTATGCAAGATAATGCTCCCTCACATGCTGCTCACAAGACTACTGAATATTTGAAACATTTAGGCTTCGATGGACCTCGAAAAATGAAGTGGCCAGCAAATTCTCCGGATTTGAACCCAATCGAAAACCTTTGGAGCATCATGAAGCGAAGACTGTACGCCAACGGACGACAATTCAGGAGCAACGCTGAGTTGTGGGAAGCAATTCTTGACATATCTCGCGGCATTACAGCAGATAACATACTACAATTAACAAATTCTATGGATCGTCGACTTTTTCAAGTAATTTGAAAACAGGGAAAGCACATTCCCTATTAATTTGTTTAAAACTGTGCCTTTGTTTGTATCTGTTATTATTTGTTTGATTATCTTATTTATTAGCATCTTTTGATCATAAACATTCACGTTCAACATTAATAAACATTTTGTTTGCTCAATTCTGGGAATTTTACTAAACCTTTCTAATAATTTGGCACGCTTAAATCACCGTGCTGATAACAAATATGGCGCCAGTTTTTTTACATTGCGCAGATCAGTACAAAAATTTCAGCGATTGCGCAGTTAAGTGTTGCCAACATTGTGTGAATTGATTGGACGGTTTTTGAAATATTAGAAAAAAAAGTTATCAAGATAATAATTTGGCACGCAGTGTATATATATATATATCTGAAGAGCCTGGCATTGCCCTGGGATATAACAGTAAGAGATAGATCAAGTATCCACCATCATAAAGACTGAAAAATAAAATTGACAAAGATTATTGTTTAAGGTTGACAGACACGCATGTCTTAATTAGTTTTTTTACGAATTGGTCAAACCCAAACTCAAACAAAAAACATTGTTTTCAATCGTTATGAGTCTATCGATTGAATAGAATTTTTAATATAAACAATTGTCTTGTAAATGGAATTTTTTAAAGCATTCTGAATGTAAAAATAAAGAAAAAATGTGCAAGACAATAAGAAACACTACCTGCCAAAAAAATGTGGATGTTTGTTTTATCAGCTGAAAAATGTAAAAATCCGATCCCATATATAAAGGAACACACACACACAAAAAAGCCTGGGTTTTTTTAACCCGATGTGAGTTGTCCCCTTTCATTCTCACGATGTGTCTTAATCGTGTTTTCAAATTGATTTTGTTAAAAAACAATTGTGTTTTTCCCATTTTCGGCGCCGTTAGAACCACCACAAGGTAATTTTATGTAGTCCTGTGAAGTTTTATTTTTCATCGGCCAAAAATGTAGGAAACCCGATCCAATATATAAACGTTACAGACACACACACACACACACACACACACACACACAATCTGCGTTTTATAATAATATAATATATATATATATATATATATATATATATATATATATATAAATTCAAATTTAAATCAAACATTATAATCTTTATGAACCCCCAAATAAAACTTTCAAAATAAAACAAAATAACAGCGTTTGTTTCCAACCGTTTTTTACAAAAGAAAATTAGTGACATCTTCTCTCTTAACTTTTTTCTCTTTTCTCTCTATTGGTTTTTTCTTCTCTACCCTTCGATTTCAATATATAACTTCCGTTAAGTTAACCATTTAAATGTGTCAATATCTGCTAACTCCCTCATGTCTTCTCTCCCCCTCACTTCCTCAAAAACAGGTTTTACATATCTTTAATACGGCCCGTCAAAAATGTAAATTTTTTCTTTTCATTTTTGTTTTTTTTGGACTAAAGTCTGATGATCCGCAGTCCTTTTAAAAGGGCTGTGGTGAAATAATTTATACATGGAACCTTAAAGTGATCTGTTTAAATTATTTGCTCTGGATTTACATTGAGCTCTCTGGATTTTATCCTCCTTAGGTTTACCCATACGGATTACCTAGTTTTTCTTAAACTATATATATATATATATATATATATATATATAATAAGATATGCCGTATAACTTTAAGGTGTTCTACATGTATGGGCTAAAGTGCTCAATATAAGAACATATGTAAATATAAAAGGTGGCATTGAAGTGAATCACCAAGAGGCGATAGTCTGTTTCATGCTGAAACGCAATGATCAGGTGACGTTATAAATAATATATATATATATATTCCCAATTGCAAGTCTCTAAATTTGCCGTTTTGTTTATTCAGTTCCTTATCAGAATTTGAACCTATGAACATTCGATTATTATGATACCAGGCTTACCATTTCGATCCAAAGATCACCTGCCGTATACAAAATAAGCGACAAAAAATGTGTTAATCAATTGAACTACTTTAATTATGACAATTTCGTTAATATCATTAAAGTACCTCCTCATATCTTTCAAAGAAACAAATTCGTAGCGCGATAGATCAAAAAGAGGCAAGTTGGCCCATACCTTTGTGCTTATCGTTACTGGTATTAAATAATTCGGAGAAAATTCAATTGTTCCAATCAAGTCTTTTTTGTTATGCATAAAAAACGTTACATTCTTTTTTTTTCTTTTTTTTTCATCGCTTTTTCTTTAAAGAAATTCAATAAACGTAATCAAATAAATCCATTATTAAGAAAAACAATTCGAGGCACTTATTATCTGGATGAAAAAAAAAACTCTGAAATTTTTTTTTCAAAACTGAACATTCAGTTTTGTTAGATTTTAAAACATTCTTCATTCAAATATCTCAAAATAACTTACTTTCATTTATGCATTGTTCCATTCTCTTTGCTCGAAAGCTGTGATTTAAATGCTAAGGAGGTCATCATTTTCAAATCAGATAATGGTTTTATTTGGATAACTAAATTTCGTAAGAAACAAAGAAAATGCAATTGTACATCGCACCTCTCGGATGAAGATGTTGTTCTGCAAGGGGGAAGTTTTAAGAAAAGTGGGAACAAAAAGGACATTTCTAATTAGAAGTAGAAAGAGACAATTTAAATTTCGATGGCATACATATAAATGAAGAAAGAGGGCTTGGAGAATCTGACACTCAAAAGAACATTAAAGGCAAATGATCAGAGGAGAGAAATGAATAACCTAACTAACGACCTTATGTAAATGCTTAGCAGAATAGAAATGAGGGATGACAAAAAAAAAAAAACTTACTATGAGCAGCAAAAGACAGGAAGTTAAGGCTACGTCACAGAAGAAGAAGAAGAAGAAGAAAAAGAAGAAGGAGGAGGAGGAGGAAGAGGACGAGAAGAAGAAGGAGAGGTGAAGAAGAAGGAGGAGGAGAAGAAGGAAGAAGAAGAAGAAGAATGAGGAGGAAGAGGAGAAAGAGGAAGTGAAGAAGTAGGTGGAGGAGGAGGATAAGAGTGAGGAGAAGAAGGAGGAGGAGAAGAAGGAGGAGGAGGAGGAGGTGGAGAAGAAGAAGGAGAGGTGAAGTAGAAGAAGAAGGTATTTGTGAAGAAGAAGGAGATATACCAAGAAGAAGGAGGAGGAAGAGATATATCTAGAGAAGAAGGAGTGGAGAAGAAGAAGACGGAGAAGGAGGAGGAAGAGAATAAGAAGAAGGAGGAGGAGGAGGAGAAAGAGGAAGAGAAGAAGAAGGTGGAGGAGGAGAAGGAGAAGAAGAAGACGGTGAAGAAGAAGGAGCAGAAGTAGAAGGAGGAGGAGAAGAAGAAGAAGAAGAAGAAGAAGAAGAAGAAGAAGAAGAAGAAAAAGCTATCAAATGTATCAACTATCACATTTTTAATCGTAAAATACTAGATTAGAAATAAATAACAAAAAGGTTTTCTTTAATACTACATACCTCCATTAAGTATCAGTTGACATTCTAAACTATAGGAAAATCCTGGTCCCGCGGATTCCAGCCATATAGCAGTACCTCCCCTATCGTACTAAAGAGAGCGGTTCGTTGCGTATCGTCATCAGCATGGCCGCGAAGATTGTATGTGTTGTGACCAAGTAATTAGTTAAGAAATTAAAAAAAAACAAAAGGTGGCAGATAAATCGTGTATTGAACAGTAAATACAACAGAAGAGTGTTAGACGACTTGGGAGTGTGTGTCGGTTGACCAGTGTTCAGTCTATATCACCGTTATATTTAACAGCCCCCCATGAGGGTTATATATACGACACAAGTCCGAGTTTAACGTGGATCATCCGAGCCCGTAGGCTCGACCTAAAACTCCCCATAGAACCCGCATGAATGGGTTCGGGTCTCGTCCGGGTTCCTCACTGCCCAAGACAGAGAGTTCGGCAGGAGCTGCGAACAGTCACAGCCTCGGAAGAACAGTCTATTAGACTGTTAATATTTAACAGCCCCGCCGCCACCACCACCACCACGAGGTATTTATGTGGCACAAGGCCGAGTTTATCCTAGGTTTTCTGAGCCCGTAGGCTCGGCCAAAAATATTCCCTTCAAACCCACATAAACGGGTTCAGGGTCTGTTTACCACCCCAGCGAAACTTTGCCCCTCGGCAAAGCCTCGTCCGGGTTCCTCTCTGCCAAAGACCGAGAGTTTGACAGTTGAACAGTCTATCACTGTTCCCCCGAGGCTTACTATTCCTACTACTTTATAGTAAGTGGAAGAGTCCAAAATAGCCTCATTAAACCCACTATATCTTACATGTTGGGTTTACATCCGGGTATAAATTTAAATGATTTTTTTGACGAGCTGATGGCTTGATTCTTTGTAGACGAAAGGGGTGCTGGTGCTGCTGCTGCTCTGGTTTCCGTTTGAAAGCTAAATTTTACAGACTTGATAACCCAACGCCCAACTGGTTTTGAAATCAAGCTTGCTATTCTTCCAAACTGGTGATCAAGCAAATCCCAGTTTGCCTTCTGTTACGAACTGGAGCCATAAGAAGAGGGTTCATACTTTTCCAAGGGGAATTTTATGCGAAAGCTAACGCAATAACCCCGATTTGAATTCGAACTCAGCACGTCAGTCCTTCTGCTGATATTCATTATACTATGCTCATATCCAGGTAGCTATATGATAAAATTAGCATTGTACAATGCTGATTATGATCAGATCTTAAACAAATGATAAGGTTAGATAGATAGATAGATAGATAGATAGATAGATAGATAGATAGATAGGGATTCACTGATATAGATAGATGAAAACTGACCGAGATAGATAGATAGATAGATAGATAGATAGATAGATAGATAGATAGATAGATAGATTGGAATTGACTGACATAGATAGATAGATAGATAGATAGATAGATAGATAGATAGATAGATAGATAGATAGATAGATAAGAATTCACTGATAGAGATAGATAGATGGGAACTGACTGAGATAGATAGATACTGTTGTAGCATACCTACGGACGATAATGGGCATATCCACATTCACATAAACACAGTAGAAAATACTGTATGTTGGTCTTCAGTCGGAGATTCGTCTCCCCTATGTCGAAGGACTGAGTTTCAGTTCGAGAAACAGCTACCCGACACCGTTTTATACGGAGTGTATGGAGTATTTTTAGTCGAGCCTACGGGCACATTAAATTCGGGTGGTGGTTGTTAGATATTCTGCTTTTGGAGATTTTGAAATTCACTTGACTCACGTCTATCAGTACTACTTCTACGCGCCGCTGGCGAGTCTTATATGTGTTGGTCTTGTCCTAAGTATTATCGTTCATTACCAACCTTCGTGTGATTAGTAACCTTTCCTAGGTTATAATAGATAGATAGATAGATAGATAGATACATAGATAGATTCGTTTTTATGGATTATCAATCATATACAGGCTATTTAATGCCAGAAAATATTTTGATTGTAATTTTTTTTAGCTTTTTGGGTATAATAATGGATTAGTGATACAAGTTTTACTAATTATCCTATACCTAGGGGAGAAGGGAATAAATACCCTCCGTAAGGGTGTCTGCGCTTAAGTCAATATAACGAATCCAATGGGAAGTGGAATTCACAATTCATAGCTATTATACATTACACCACCTGTGCGTCCAAGCTGACAATACCTGCTAATCGAAGTAGTGACCAGGTTCGATGTTGATTAACCTCCAAGGAACAGAAAGTCTCCGTAAGCAGTTAATGAATGGACAGGTTGAGATTCAAAGTCATAGATGACCGATAATATGGAAAGTTTTTGATAGCGAATGAATGGACATTAGGCTAGGTAGATAGATAGATAGATATGATATGATAGATAGATAGATAGATCATGAAACTTTTTGAAATAGATATGAAAGAATGCGATAGACAGATAGATAGATAATGAGCAAATGATATATATATATATATATATATATATATATATATATATATATATATATATTGCATTGAGCAAGTGATCAATAAGTACTTGCGTAAGTGGCTTGGAGTTCCTCCTTGTTTTTCGAAAGTGGGCCTATATACCAACTCCGGACATCTGCAGCTCCCTGTACATTCATTGGTGGAGGAATTCAAGGTTGGGAAGGTACGCCTTCATATGATGATGAGAGACTCAGCTGATGATTGCATACGGAAGGTGCATCCAGAGATTAAATCTGGTACAAAGTGGTCAGCTGCAGAGGCCACACAAGAAGCAGAAACCAGCCTGCGTGTCAGAGATATTATGGGTGTGATTCAGAATAATTGGGCTGGATTGGGTAATACAACACACAAATACTTCTCCAAGGAGAATGCAAAGGGAAAAAGGCGTATGGTAGTTGAAGAAATCAAAATGTTCGAAGAGGAGCATAGAATAGCTACTGCTATTACTCAAGCGAAACAGTGTAAGTGGACAACATGGAATGATATCGAACCCATTAAGCTTTCATGGAATTCATTAATTGCGATGGAACCATTGGCGATGTCTTTCCTTCTTCGATCTACATACGATCTTCTCCCAAATGAAACAAAGCTGAAAATGTGGGGATACACAAATACAGATCTCTGTTTTTCGTGTCAAAAAGACCGAGGTACCTTGCGTCATGTGCTTTCTGCTTGTCCACATTCACTCCATATGTACACGTGACGACACAACAAGGTATTAGAGGTGATAAGGGATCTAATAAGAACACAATGTGAGACAGCAAACCAACAGCTTGTGGCATCCAAGGAAACTAAGATTGAATTCCATAAGGAAGGGGAATGCCCTTCAAAGAAAAAGCAAACAACCCCCAATATAAAGCTGCTGAGTGGTGCCAGTGATTGGAAGGTTTCAGTGGATCTAATGATATCCTTAAAATTTCCAATGCACATCGTACAGACAGACAAGCGTCCCGACATTGTGTTGTGCTCCGACTCGAAAAAGACTGTTTTCCTAATAGAGTTAACAGTCCCTTGGGAAGAGAACAGGGTGGGGGCGCACGAACTAAAGACCGGTACGAGTTACTGCGTGCCGAATGTATGGAAAATGGTTGGACGTGTCACGTGATGCCTATTGAGATTGGGTGTCGTGGGTTTCTGGGACATTCGGTCATTTCCTTCCTTTCAAAAATAGGCATCACTGGCCGTTGGTTGAAAAGCGTTTCGCATCGCCTTCAAAAAACTGTTCAACACACGTCAAGTTGGATTTGGTCGAGATCAAAACAAGCAAATAGAATGCGTTCAACATCACGACCTACCATGCGCAAGTGAGATATTTGCGTGGTCGTCTATAACGATTTTTACGAGCGCGTCAATAACAGCAAATGCGTTCAAGAAACTTTCATAGCAGATAGATTTTACTTAAAGGAACGATTAATTGGTTTATCTTCATACCCTGCCTGGTGGCAAACGCTGCTGGTGGCGCCAGGGGTGGCGGTCCCGCCATAGCCACCGAAACCGTGATATCACCCCTGGTCGGCGGCTGATGAAGACAGGGTATCACACGTGCTAACACACGTTGTATTTTATATATATATATATATATATATATATATATATATATATATATATATATATATATATAGTTAGATAGATAGATAATACATATAGATACATAATGAACCTTCTGAATTAGATATGAAAGAAATGCGATAGATAGCTAATGAACAAACTGAGATAGATAGATAGATAGATAGAAAGTGAACAAACTGAGATAGATAGATAGATAGATAGATAGATAGATAGATAGATAGGGAATAAACTGAGATAGATAGATAGATAGATAGATAGATAGATAGATAGATAGATAGATAGTGAACAAACTAAGATATATAGATTGATGGATATATAGATAATGAACATAGATAAGAAACACATATAGATAAATAGATAGATAATGAACAAAGATAGATAGATAGATAGATAGATAGATAGATAGATAGAAATAATTTTTTACCATTCTTTTATTTTACTCTTTTACCCGTACAATTTTTTATTTTTTGTTTTGTTTTTCGCTCTTTTTTCATTAATCCGTTTTAATTGTCACCATTTTCCTTTTTACCATCTGTTCTCTACTATCAGGCTGCTCTCTCTCTCTTACACTCTCTCTCTCTCTCTCTATCTATCTATCTCTATCTCTTTCTCTTTCTTTTTCTCTCCCTCTCTCGCTCTCTCACTTTCTCTCTCTCTTTCTTTTTCTCTCCCTCTCTCGCTCTCTCACTTTCTCGCTCTCTCACTTTCTCGCTCTCTCACTTTCTCGCTCTCTCTTTCTTTTTCTCTCCCTCTTTCGCTCTCTCTCTGTCTTTCTCTCTCTCTCCCTCTCTCTCTCTCTCTGTCTCTGTCTCTCTTTCTCTTTCTCTCTCTCTTTCTTTTTCTCTCCCTTTCTCTTTCTTTCTTTTTCTCTCTCTCTCTTTCTCTCTCCCTCTCTCTCGCTTTCTATCTGTCTCTCTGTCTCGCTCTCTCTCTCTTTCTCTTTCTCTCTCTTTCTTTTTCTCTCGCTCTCTCTCTCTCCCTCTCTCTTTCTTTTTCTTTCCCCCTCTCTCTCTTTCTCTCTCTCGCTCGCTCTCTAATTTATTGGTTATTATTGATTCTAACGATATTTTATTGGTTGCTTTGCCCGCATATGCCATGGTGCGTCCATGGTGCTCGGGCCCTGGTCTGCTTATTTTCGCAACTTGACAGAGAATCAGCCAGAAAGGCGAAGATATCAGTTTCTTCCCCAAAGAACGAAACCTATTTGAAATTAGAGAGAAGAAAAAAAAAAAACTCTGACAGATGCAGAAACGATTGTCAGTGGAGAGTTTCTCAGTCCTTATTAGAAGCGGAAATTTCCGGCAATACTTGTTTATGTCGCCTGCAGTCATAGCAGCAGCTGTCATGATGATTGCACAAGAAATAACAGAGGCTAATGGCCGTGATTGATGCGAACGAAAATAATGGAAGTTCACATCGAAATGGATCCTCTTTTGATAAGATTTCCATATTTTAGAGAATATTTTTTTATAATTTCTTTCTTCTTCCACATATTTTTTATATTTCTCTCTGTCTTTGTCGACGCTTTCCTTTCAGTTTATTCATTTTGCGTCTTTCTAAAACATTGTTAGATCATTTTTCTTTCAAACCCATTCGTTCTCTTTTTCTTCTTCCTCTTCATCTTCTTCTTCATCTTCTTCTTCTTCTTTTCCGTCTTCTTCTTCTTATCCTCTTCTTTCGTTTTCTTCTTCTTCTTCTTCTTCTTCTCCGTCTTATTCTTCGCGGTCTCCTCCTCCTCCTCCTCCTTCTTCTCCGTCTTCTTCTTCTTCTCCGTCTTCTTCTTCTTCTTCTTCTTCTTCTTCTTCTTCTTCTTCTTCTTCTTATCCTCTTCCTTCGGTTTCTTCTTCTTCCTCTTTTTCTTCTTCTTCTCCTTCGTCTTCTCCTACTTCTTCTTCTTTTCCGTCTTCTTCTTCTCCTCCTTCTTCTTTTCCTTCTTCTTCTTCTTCTATTTCTTCTTCTTCTTCATCTTCTTCTCCTTTTTCTTCATCATCATCTTCTTCTTCTTCTTGGTTTTCTTCTACTTCTTCGTCTTGTTCTTTTTCTTTTTCTTCGTCTTTTTCTTCCTCTTCTTCTTGGTCTTCTTCTTCTTTCTCTTCTTCTAATACTACTAGTACTTCATCTTCTTCATCTTCTTCGTCTTGTTTTTCTTCGTCTTCTTCTTCGTTCTCTTCTTCTACTTTTTCGCCATCGTCTTCTTCGTCTTCCTTTTCTCGTTTTTCTTCGTCTTTTTGTTGTTCTACTACTACAACTTCTTCTTCTTCGTCGTCTCCTTCTTCATCATCTTTTTCTTTCTCTCCTTCTTATTCGACTACAACTTCTTCCTTTTCTTCGTCTTATTTTTCTTTGTTCTCTTCTACTACTTCGTCTTGTTTTTCGTCTTCTACTTCTTCTTCTTCGTCTCCTTCTTCTACTATTACTAGTCCTTATAATTCTTCTTTTTCATCATCTTCTTCTTCCTCATCTTCCTCGACTTCTTTTTCTTCGTCTTCTTCGTATTAATCGTCTTTTCCTTCTTCTTCGCCTTCTTCTTCTTCTTCTTCTTCCTCTTTCTATCTGTTCCGTCTGCCTTCAGGACGTGGGCTCTCATGGCTTCCCACAATTGTCTTCTTGCTGTATCTCTTAATCCCTGTCCTGAAAAACATCTCATTGGCTACACGTTGTTTTCCTCTGCCCCTCTTGCTTTCAATATATCCTGTCAGTGTCAAAGTTTCTAAGCCTTCTTTCCTCATTATATGCCCGAGAAGTTTCAACTGTCTCTTTCCGATGCTATGAATAATTGTCCTTTTTATTTCCATTTTCCCTAAAACTTCGTAGTTGTCACGTAAGAGAAACAACATTTTTTCTATTAACGACCTCAGATCGCTTC